CAGCCACTCTGGTCTGAAGGAAATCTTCCCAGCATGAATTAATGCAACATTGACCAAAGAAGTCAAGCCAGCATTAACTAATTAGCTGGCACGCAGTGACGGTTGGATCTCCCAGGTGCAGTCAGCCTGTTAGCACCTGCCTTATCTATAGGCGCAAAGACCATGTTGGTGCCAGAAGAAAGAGACCTACCTGATGGTGACCAGTGTGCCTTGGAAGGGAGACCTGCTCCTGTCTGCCACAGTTTTAGAGCTCTGTCCTGCACAGGGACCATCTCCCCCTGAGCCCCCGAGGGCACATGTCCTGGGAGATGGGCCAGTGGCACTGGGTGGGCTCCGGGACCCCCATTGTCCCCCCTCCAGCACTCGGGAGGGCTCCAGGACCCGGCTGCAGCTGGGAGCCACCACGGGCTGAGCTGGGACAGGGGACTGCAAACCAAACAGCTGCTCCCAGGCACTGAGGAATTTTATTCCTGCCATAATTTTTCAATTTACAAGGCAGTAAATGAAAGAGGAAGATGAGATTTGCTCAGCACATTTTTCAGAAGTATTTACTGCTGAGAGCACTAGAAAAGCCATTTAAACAATTGCTTTTATGACACAACACACATTAAAGAAACTTCCCTAATATTTTTTCAGCCCTCTGCCACTTCATACCACAGTGATGCTGTTTTGTTCAGCTAGCTGTTTTATGGGCTGCCTTGATTTTAATTGGGCTCTAGCCCCAGGGTGCACTGAAATTTTTGAGTCTCATTTAGCTCCAAGTGTGCTTAGAGCTGATCAGGCAGAAATGTCCTGTCCTGCCTTAATGTCTTCTGTCGTCTTGTGAGCTGGAAGGGCCGTGTGTGGGGAAAGGAGTCCCCGATGTGGGTGATGATGTACCTCCAGCCCAAGGGTTGGTGGTCCTCACATCCCCCGTGGAGCTGGGCTCCTTGGCTGGGGCTTAGACACGGTCGCTGTGGCCATTTGATTAATGAGGGGCAGATTGAGGCCTGGGATGTTTGGGCTAGTGTTTAGGAAAGGCTTTTTCACTAGGAGAGGGTCGTTGGGGACTACCCTCACCTGGAGGTTTTCAAGGCTCGGCTAAACAAAGCCCAGCCCAGTCTAGCGTTGGTGAGGGGGCGCACCCCAAGGAGGAGACAGAACTGGAGAGCTCCGGAGCTACCTGCAGTTTTATTAGTCATTTTTTGTGTGTTTTAAGCCACGCAAAGGCTGGGAGCTGCATCCCATCGCCCACCAACCGCCCGCGGGGACAGGACATCACTTCAGCCCCGTCCCTACTGTCACCCAGTGGGACACCCCGCCCATGGGCCTTAAAAACCTCAGTCCCCCCAGGGGAGAGCGGGTGGGCTCCGGGCTGTCGGGGTGCTCCGGAGC